TAGAACAATTGCTCAGGCCTGGAAGAGTCCGGTTGTCCCTCTTCAGGGGGTGCGGGATCGTATGACCACTATGATGCTCAACGAACAGATGTCGAGTGTCCGCAACGACTCCCAACATAAATTTTTGAAAATATGGGAGCCGTGGTTGCAATTTTTTTTTTGCATTTTTTTTTATCTGTGCAATTGATAGCCCCTGCGTGGGCGTGTTTTATTGCCTCTCTTTTATACTGTTTAAAAATTAATAAAAACCATTGAAATAGAAAAATAGAAATGCACAATTAAAAGAAATTTTAGAAAAAGGGGAAATCTGTTCTTTTCAAGATTTAAAAAGGAATTATTCCTTATATTAGATGAATGGCGATATTATCAATTAAGACATTTTGTTGCAGTGCCATTAAGATCGATGGAAGGTATGAATCTGTTGGAACAATTGTTCAGCTCAGAAAAAATTCAAAAACATGCAACTTTGACTATTTATAACTTACGATAATATCTGGACCTATCTGTCCTCTATTTATAGAGAAGTGGGAAAAAGAGCTTGGAACAAAATTGAACAGCAAAAAAGAAAATATTTAAATTAGCACATGGGGCAGTGGATATGAATATAATAGAAATTTATTATAAATGTTTAGCAAGATAGTATATCGCACCGAATGGGGCACATAAGCAACGACCAGAAAATTCACTTTTATGTTGGAGGGGATGTGGAATAAAAGGAACAGTGGCACATATATCGTGGGATTGTCCCAAGATACAAGAGTTCTGGCAAGAAATAATTCAACAAATATAGGAGATATCTGAAAATAGTATTTTGAAAGATCCCTGGGTTTGTTTATTCCATAATACTGAAGTTTCAGTGAAACAATATAAGAATGTTACAATTTCTCCTAATAAAAGGTGGCAAAAATATTGATCCCCAGGTATTGGCAGGTATAAGAGACCCCCAAAATAAAAAAAAAACTGGTTACATAGAGTGCAATATGTATACAGGATGGAAGAATTGTATCACATCGGAGAGCATAAAATTGGAAAATTTAATAAAATATGGAAGAGGTGGTGTGATTTCAAAACGTCAAAAAAATATTTAGAACTGGTATAGGTTCAAAAACAGGAAGAGATAAATGAAAGGAGAGGAGGTTGTATAGGAAGGAAAAAAGAAAAAAGGAACTGAAGGGTAATGAGAAGAAAAACAGAGGAAGTAATAGGGAACAATATTTATGGAAGAAACTGGGGGCAAATTAGAGGAGGGGGGGAGAGTATGGGGGGGGGGCTGGGTCAAATATGTTGTGAAAAATTGTTTTCTTTTTTGTTTGTATACAGATGATTATAAAGTTGAATTTTGTAATATGAAACCAATAAAAGATAATTAAAAAAAAAAAAATAAGTAATGGGAAATCCAGAATGTTATGACTGTCACCAAAACAAGAGGTAAGCAGTAAAAAAAAACCTGATAGGGATTCCAATCCTACCCTACTCTATCCCAAAAATTTTTTTTACAGTTTACGATGTATTATAGTTTACTGATATGCAGTAGCTCCCCCACCCTTTTATGGACCAGAGGAAATTTACCTATCTGCTATGGGCATATTCAGTTGTCGATATCTTTGTAATGCAAAAAAAAAACAATATATATTTATTTTGTCCTAAGTAATGACAATTAAATCTTTCTTTTGGTGATATTATCCTGCAAAATGATTTTTCCTATGCAATGTATAGACTAAAACTAACAAAAACTAAAAAAAAGTTATCTCTTTAAACTTTCACCAGTATTTGGTTTAAAACTAGTGTCACTATAGATAAAATGTATACATTTTACTTAATAATTCCTTCTGATTATAATGGCTTTTCACTTTTTTAATGCAACAGAAATAAAAAAAATTACAGAAGAAAATAAAGGAAAGTGAAATAAAGTAAAAGAAAAAATAAACTAATGAAAAAAGAGAAAAATCAATAGATCAAAGAGTGACCAGTCATTTATTGTCACATGGTATTTACTCAGTTTCCACTAATATCACTCTCTAATGATGCGTAGCGATAAGAGCAGTAAGGGGGTGGTTCAAAGCATGGCAGTAAGTGGAGGTGAATTGGGCACACGCTGTATATCCCAAGTACTTTGTTGAAGTTTTTTTCTTTGGGGGGGGGGGGGGGGAAGGTGCCTTACACTGTTTGCCTTGTGTCCTAAACTGGTTTCTGTATATAAGGTACATTTAAACTTGGGTAGGCCATAGATGCGATTTTCTTTCCTGAAACTACAGGTTGCAGGAAAGAAAATTACTCCATTTCACCATCAACACAGTCACAATCCCTTCCACCAGAGCTATTGTGTTCTCCCGACGGGGGGAGCAGGGAGCCATCCCTGCTGGGAGAACACAAGCATTGTTGCTGCTAGTTATAGCCACTGGCAATAATCACATCCTAAAAATCTGAGATGCTTGGTGTAATCAAGTTAATCGATGGATCGACTTGAGTACAATCAGCCTGCCCATACATGGATCGAATCGTGACCAGTCCTTGCTGAATCAGCCGAGATTCGAACCATCTAGGGTCGGCTTTAGCAATCACTTAAATATACAGACTGCCATAGTGACCTCTCCTTCAGAAAATTCAATCTGCTTGTCATGCATTGCAAAGAACAAGTATGCAGATTAAAGCAAGACTTTGATCAAAATTCGGCTTTCAGCAGGGACCAGACTTATTTCGATCCATGCAAAGCAAGTTGGGGTTGGGGTTATTCTCACTTCCTGTGTGGTTGCTGGGACAGGATATGAGAGACTAATAAAATGACAAGTTTCTAAAACTTGCCCATGTATTAAAGGTATGTGTACATGAAATAGAATAGAAGCAATGGTACAAGACTAGATGTGGTCTTTGTGTGTCCACATCTTCCACCCTCACCATGTCTGCTGCTGGTGGCATCCCATATGTGAGTCAATTATCATCATCATCTAAATTAAAATTTCTGTAACAATAATTTGCTGCTCTTGTACAGGAAGTATTAAATATTTTAAAAAAAGGACCAAGGTTACTTCCTGAGAGTCACATGATAGGCTTACTATTACTCATATAACTACTGTTTTTTTTTTACTTTTTCCACTGTTGCTAACCATTTGTCCAAGGTGATTGTTGCAGGCCATTTAGGACAGACTACATTGGTCACTGGTAAAATCAAATAACCAAAATCTCTATTTTGAGATCACAAAACAAACTACACTTATTCAATATTGTAGTAACTGCTAGACAATCAGTACTGGCCTGGCCATCCTGCAAAACTACATAATTGTACAGTTGTATAGAACTGTGATGTTGCACAACCAAACATGTCAAGTGCAGATTTTTGCAGCCAAACCATGGTGTCAAGCAGTATATGTAATGCTGTTAAAGTAGAATTATAGGGCAAAACTTTTGGGTTTTTTTTTTTCCATTTTGGATAGAGTAAGAGAGCATCAGGTAATAACCCCTGCAAGTTTATTTTTTGCCATCTGTGCTCTGTTGGGGACATTTCCCTTCACTTCCTCTCCCAGAGACAAACTAAGTGGGAGAAAATCCCTGCAAATTAAGGGAATTCCTTAGGGACCTCTAGATTACCTGAACTAGTGCCCCCACTGGAACATTTCCCCTGTATTACTTTTCTGGGGACAACCCAAAATTTGGGGTTTTCTTTTACTTTTAAAAACCAAAATAAAACAGCGCAAAACAATACCTAAACCAGATTATTTATACATAATATAAAATCATATATCATATATATTATATTATAGTGTCCAAAAAAACTAAACGTGTCCAAAACAACTCAAAAAATGTAAAGTCCTTTCTCCCAAACTCCAGAGTGCTTCAACAAAGAAATTGGTTATCCTTCTGTGATATGTGCTTCCACCATCCACCAGTGCAAAACCAACATAAACCGCACTCACCAGATAATGGTGAATAGTAGGCCTTAGGACTTTTAGGGATCCTACACCCCCTCTATAGCCTCCAGACCTCCATTCCACCATACAGGGCTAGGATGATCCTTCCACTTTCTTGATAGGGACCTCCAAAACCCGCTCCACAGTTGTGCCAAAGGAAAAAATATTGCATATAGTGTGATATTGCTAATGACCATATAACATGTATATTCTGTAATGTACAGCACTGAGTGAACTATTGGCGCTTTATAAATACTGTATAATAAAATAATATACAAATACCAGGCCACTCACATTTTACAAAATCCATAAAAGCATATTTATTAGCCTTCCCCGGCTGGATAAAGTACACACAACATCCAGGAACAGCTCCAGAAATCTCACAGCTCGATTTGCAGAGGATGACAGTATGTAAGACAGACAGATCCCAAAATGGCCGCTTGGAACGCACCGCTTAGCGTGCGTTCCACTCACTGGAAGTTGCGTAAGACGTTCAGACGGCAGACCAGAAGTGCGTTGACGCGTTTCGCCCCTCCCACTGGGCATTCTCAAGACCACTTCAATGATAATGGTAAACAGGATAAATAGAGAAGGTGAATCTCCCTAACGGGGAAACAGACTGCAAGAAAAACCTGACAGGGGTTCTAATCCATCTCCACTCTATCCAAATCGTAAAAAATGACTTTGCCTTTAGTTATACTTTAAATAAATGGGTGTATTTTTAAGTAATTAACCATGGAAATCTAAAATGTATTGCAATATACAGTAATTATAAATGCCCTGAGTTTATAAGCATATTTATGTCATGATACGATTACTTCAATTTACTGTTTACAGATTAAAGTAAAATGCAATAACTAAATTTAAGGCAGCTGAATCTAAAACATAAGCCTGCTCGTAAACCAAAAATGACAAGACACTATATCAAAGCAAATAACATCTTGAAGTAAGCATATAAATAGTGCATTTATTTTGACACAGAAAAGCACTGAAAATCAAGTTTTAATTGTGAATAAAACCGTATAAAATTTGTTTGTTTTTTTTCCATTTCATTGCCTCTACATACAGTGCAAAAAGAAAAGAGACAGATGTTGATCAGTTTATAAAGCTATTTTGGTTTGAGCTAGTTGGATGATTTTCTAATATAATTGGGGGATCATATATAATAAGATCTTCATCAGCTGAAGAATTCTGGTCTGTGGTTACAAAGTTTGGGATGTTGAATTTAGCAAAGCCACTGGGATCTACTTCCACTTTGGGGTTTCTAACAGTCTGTTGGATGAGAATACCATTGTCTTTAGTCTTGGAAATCCGTTTTGAACTGGCAAGGTGATCAACTTCACTGATGTAGCAATGAAATAGTGACCTAGATTCTTCAACTGCATCCTGGGAGAAAACTCTGTTGACTTCTGCTGGTCTGCCAAAGTCCGTTAGAAAGCTGTTCATTCTTAATCTCTTTTCGGGTTGCTCCATATTTCTGACAGCATAGAAGAAAGCAAGTTAAAGTCTAAAAGTAAAATACGCGTATGAAAGATCATTCAGTTCTTCACTCCTGTGAAGACTTGACAATTATCAGAGTGTATACAGACCTTTATTTTTCTCTGTGATGAATGGCGGCTATTACCAGGCCACACACCCTGCCAGCAGACAGACTGTGCACATGTCTGATTGATGTAGCTGTCCAAGTCCACAAAGGAGAGATGGCAGTATGACCTGAGATCTTCAGGCTCCTGTAAAAGCACCCTACCACTACTACATGTGACCAAGAGTATTTCTATAGCCTGGTGTTTATATCCCAGCCTTATCATTATGCATGCAGAGCAGGAGTAACAAATTTTGATCATCATTAATTGCTCTCTCCCTTTTTTGATTCCAGTTGCCATGGTCAGCCTCCACAAGGACAACCACAACATGCAGGCCAACACCCTTGAGAGTTGAATAAAAACATTTAATGCAGGCATTGCTGCAGCAACCATCTCCTATAATTTGTGTAATACTAATTAGTTTTAAAGCTGAACTCCAGACAAGATGCGAATTACACAGGAAAAATGCATATAGCTCAACTGTCTTATCTGCCAAGTGATTTGTAATTTTCATTCCATCACCCCTACCACATTCTAAACCTCCACAGCAGCACAGACAGGGCAGTAATGGAGCACATCAGTAAAGTTATTACTCTGTCTCCTATCAGTACCTTCCCTGCCAGTATATGTACTGCTGGAATTGGAGGTTGATCTAAGGACACATTCAGGTATTTAACGCTACAATTTATTGTTCTTTGCAGGAACTGTAAGTATACAGACAGGCATTTTTTTTCTTTAATTTTGAATACAGTAAGAAAATAAATCAGCACCCCAGTCATGCTTTTATTGCTGTCTTTGTGCCAGCTGGGGAAACTGACCGTCTGTATTTCTCTATTGTCAGTGGAACAGCAAGTGATGGGAAAACCAACCCTGACATCATAGATTTTTTATCCTTCCCTACCCTATCAAAATCTTAAAAAAAAAAAAGAAGTTATTTCACATATACCTTCAGCTTGTAGAATGAGCTTGCACACCCCTGTTGTCGCAATAAAGGAACCTGTGACAACAAAATGCTATCACACATAGGACTTTTGGTTAACGGAAAAAAAGGTGGAAAAAAATTGGCGAAACATCCAGAACACTTGTCTGAGGCATTTGACAGGCCTATTTTAATCTCCTAAATCAGCAGTGGTCAACGTTCTTGGTATAGGGGGCCTCAAATGCAGCCCCTGACATCAAAAAAGGGCTGCACATAATATTCACTGAACATGCTTGGGGGAATTTACTAAAACTGGAGCATTCAGAATCTGATGCAGCTGTGCATGGTAGCTAATCAGCTTCTAACTTCAGCTTGTTCAATTAAGCTTTGACAATAAAACCTGGAAGCAGATTGGTTTCTCTGCAGAGCTGCACCAGATTTTGCACCATGTAGTTTTAATAAATAACCCCCTCTGTGTCAGAAACAGTGGACACACAACAAGATATGGTCAAAGGCTATGGACATGACTCAAGAGTTGGTCAGAGACTGCAGACATGCTACAGGCCTTGGTCAAAGACTAAAGGCATGCTACAGGCTTTGGTGGGAGACTGTAACCATGCAACAGGAGTTGTTGGAGAATAGGGACATACTTCCGGAATCATAGACTGAAGACACATAGTGACGTTGCAAGGGCCCTGAGAGCTGCACAAAAAGTGCCAAAGGACCATAAGCTGGTTATCAGGACCCTAAATTCCACACCGTCATGCCGCAGTTGCATGCATTGCATGTAGTTGTGGGGCAGTTGCAGTGAGGCCCCATTCACTTGAATGTGTCGCATTAAGGGGGCAGTACCAGTGTCTGCTGAAGGTGATGGGGTATAATTTCTGCCAAGGCTTGGACACAAAGCTTTGCAGCCATGGCATGTGTATGCCACTGTAGCTAAAGGGAGAGCATTTGAGGGTGGTAAAAATGTGACTCAAAAACATGGTTTTACTGCCCCCAACTTCACTTGTGATTGAACCCTAACAGAGTGACTGCCATTTTAAAATATTTTCTTAAAACCCAGCTCCAGTCAAAATCCATAATTTTCCCATCCCTCCCTCTAACTCATCCTGCCAGCTCATAACTCTACCTTACCTGGTAAAGTCAGTTATACTCACCTGAGTTCCCCAATCCAGGTCCCTCGCTGATGCAGTTTCCACCTGCCAGGACAGCTAGTCTTTTGCTGGCCAGTCCCCTTCACTGCCCTTAGTCCAACGTCAGATATCTTCTGTTGATGTAAAATATTGTCAATTACTAGATACATTTTATGTGTGTTCTTAATTAAAGTTTACCAAATTTTTTTTACGGTCATTTCCAGGGCAAATTCAACAAACACATCCAGAAATCTGCAAATTGAAAACACCATTAAAGTAGTGGGAGGAGAATCTTGAAAAATGATTACCGTATCTCCGTTTTCAAAGGCTAATAGGCAAGGCATTTGTAAACAAAGGCTATGGGGAACTGGCCACTGCCAGAGGGGGCATGTACCAATCCATTAAATAAATACTGTTTGACAGGAAGTAGCTCATTTAATAAGACAAAGTAAAATAAAAATGCAAAGCTCCTTTAAATCACAGGCTTATGGGATCTCTTAGGCTAAAGTTCACACTATCCCACACAGTAAAACACAGGTTTACCATGCAAGCAGCTGTCCGTGTGAGCACCAGAAGTGAGTGGTGCTATGAACATTTCATGGAGCTGCTTTCTTTTTTTTCCCCAAGTGTAACAATGACACTTCATTAATGTCTTCACACAGCAGAACAGTGTTTTGCACTTCAGTGAGGTCATATGCAGTGCCATCCAGTGCACTGCAGAATAATGCAGACATGCTGCATTTCCAGCACATCACACCAGTGTTACTCAGTTCAGGAAAAACATAGGTCACTGCCTATATTGTGAATGAGCCCTTAAACCTGCCTGGGAAGGGGCAAACCTGTACAATGTACACAAGAAATAGTGACATTTAGATGGAAAAAATACCTTATATTGCTGGCCACTAAATTACATTTCCCCTCCACTTCAATCTGCTTGTAAACAAAATAGCCAAGGATACTTTTCATCTATACTGGGCCCTTATCCTGGGTGAGGTTCTGGTGTGGATTATAAGGGGGACCCTACAAAAAAATGACCACCTGCATTCTAGCAACCAAGGACTCTGTATGGGACAGTCGCTTACACCTTTCAAACGAATGATGTATTTGGTTGCTGAGAATACAGCGGATGAACAGCCAGTTTGCTAAGGTGAAATGTAACAACCAATGATGCTTAACCAGTTCCTGCCCAACCACAAGATATTTACTGTGAGTGGGTGGCATGGGCAGGCTCCCGCGACTGCCGTGTCCGATGTGTCTGTGGCTCATGGTACCCGGCCACTTTGAGCAGCTACAGTATCACGTGATCACATGATCGCAATGTAAAACACAACTGTTATGAATGGGTTTCATTTATAACAGCTGTGCTTATTATTGTGATGCTGTGATTGTCCCAGAGGTATCACATGGCACCCGGGCCAATCACAGCACCCCTGTACCATGTGATAGCTGTGGGCCAATCAGAGCACACAATAGTAATCACAGCTGTTATGAATGTAGCCCATTCAAGCCAGTTCAAAACAATGCAGGTACTCCCCTGGTAAATTAACCTTCCCATGTCAAAGAGTGTGGCCTGGTATAGTTTGGGGGGAGGATGCATGCTCACTGCCCCCTCACAACCAGGCTGCATGCTTAGATAAGGGTATATTTGCAAGCAGACTGCCCTATGTAACATTTACATGTTAACTAAAAACACAATCAAAGGGACATTAAGGCTGGGGAAGAAAGAGCTAGAGGATGCAGGTTGTCTTTCAGCTAGGAAATAATGTTGCGCTCTATCTGACTTGCTACAGCTTCTAATGCACACTGTGAGCCATTTAAAATGTACAGTGAAATCAAAGTAAGCAATGTCAGTACAGGAGAGGAACCTGTAGATCTGTGGAAGACAGAAAGTAAGGCTGGAGTTCAACTTTAAATATGAATTGTTCCAATCAAAATACTGGTACTCATCTCTCCATGCATAAGGTCAAAAACATAATTCAAGGCAATAACTAAAACATAAGCTGTGTTTAAGTCAGAATTTCATAGTTGTACAATAAAGGACACAGTCTCTTTAATAATTATGACTGGATTATATGCAGCTACCTTCAAGCTATTGAACAATGGCATAAAAAGAAACTGCAGGGACATCCCCCTACATAACATTCCCTTCCCAGACGGCCACAGTTTTTTGTTAGCATCGTTAGTTAATGTACCTCTAATAAGAGAATCTTACCTTCTTATCTGGAGGTTTCTCTCTATAATAATCGCCTGCATCACAGCGACTGCTTTTGGCACTGGATCCTGCTGTGGACACTCTCTTTGGCACGTAGTTCAGTATCTGGAGTTAGCAACAGAGTGCACATAGTGGAGGGTGAAGTCAGAATGGGGTTACTCTCCTATTAATCCTGTCTACTAGATATGCAGTATAGAGGAAGCCTGCTGAACTCCCTTCCAGTGGCTGGGACAGGATGCTGGGAGTTACAGGGTAAACCGAAGTGCTGGTTCACATATATGCAAATTGGATGCAGTTTGAACTGAGCTGCAGGTCCTGTCTCTTCCTCTTTACAAGCAGGACTTTGGATATATCCTGGTTCTCTCCCTGCTGAGGGCAAATTACAGTGGTTAATACCTGGTTACTGCAGCCTACAAGGACTTTCCCCCTCCCTCTCTACTGCTGCAAAGGTTGTAAGTAACCTTCTGGGGAAAGTATCACCAGCATGACAAGATCTCAAGCACAGGAAAAAAGGGCAAGATGAGGATCAGCTTTTAGCTCCATTGGGGATAGTAGTTCATCCATTCAGGGTGTTCATACCCTTTCCTCTGATGTTTGCCCATGCTCTGACTCCCTGCTTTCCT